ACCCGGGACATTTGGGCAACAGCCTCGAACCCGTGAATCACTTCAAGACTTCAAGACTCATTATGTTGACCATAAATGCAACTCACGCAGTTGGCTCGAGCCACAAGTCCTGTGGCCGGACCTGTCCTGTCCTGTTTGCTGTTGATGTCAGAATGACAGGGTTAAACCTGCGAAAGGAAAGCGTTGTTCGGTTACGCTGGTTCGCAGTCCTCGTTTGGGATGACAACGTCTGAAGATGTTCGTACCGTCATAGTTCCGGTTAGTAGACGAACTCCTCTTCGAAGTGTCTGGGCGTCTATTGTAGAGGTAATCGAGGATAAAAATTGGATTTTTACTTGCGTTAGGTTCTCACAAAACAACTTAAATTGATGGTTTGTTTGAGCACACGCCAGAAGATATGGAAAATTTTTGTCAAAGCTTCTCCCGAAACCAAAGATCCTCTACATCTTCAAAAAGGAATTGATTTCCTCCATGCCTATATGAAAGGCTTCAAATATGAAGATGCTCTAGCAGTCGTACGTATCGATGGAATATATGTTGAAAGCTTTCACATCATGGATGTGAAACAGACCCTGAAGGTAACTTCGTTGGTCATGTAAATCAGCCTCCGATTGTTTTCCTACTATTTTTCGTGGAATTTCGTAGACCGCTCCCCAGCCAAAAAGACTGTTTTATGTTCCTGCTGTCTCGTTGTCTTAGCCTGCAACTCGTCGTAGCTGTATGATGATTCTAAGTTCTTTCGGCGAGTGTTCTAATATTTTCCCTAATGGATATAAACCAATTTACTGCATGCTTTGCAATACGTATTGATTATCGAGTTTATTTTTCCCCCTCCTCGCGTTCGCTGCTTTAGGTTTCAATCATCTTTTTAACGTCATTCAGATGCCACGTATTATTATGTTATTATACTTCTCACTTGTCTGATGCCAGACTGTGTGCCAAGCAAATTATGGTACAATAATCTTTATGATAAAGAAAGAGGTTCTATGATTTGCACGTGGGCTAAATACTGCCAGGTTGCCCAGGCCAAGGCAGGTGAATTTTCCTGTGGAATCCACAACCGGAGCCTTCGGCTAACCACAACCTGACCCGCAAGGCATGAGAGCGTGTGTGCGAAAACTGCAGTCCGTTGGGGGCCGGTGTCCAGTTCATTGGGCCATACGCCCTTCGGACGGGGTCAGACGTCCGAGGTGCCCAATTGAGCCGGTGACCATTGCCACAACCGAAAAGGTGTGGCTGTGGTCCGTACGCCTCATGGTTGGTTCGGAATCAGGGTTTTTGGCCAGCTCCCCTAGGTGAACTGCCTGTGGTCCACCGACCCGGTTATAGCCCCGGATGTCGGCTACTCATCCTCTCACTTTGGTGGGAAAACTCCTCCGCCACTAGAAGGCAG